CCTACAGTATTTAAAAATCAATAAAACTGTAAATAAAGTCTATTTAGATTTAATCAAAACTATTGTTCTTAACCTACAATATTATATCAATAAAACTGTAAATAAAGTCTATTTATATTTAATCAAAAGTATTGTTCTTAACCTACAATATTTAAAGATCAATAAAACTGTAAATAAAGTCTATTTATATTTAATCAAAACTATTGTTCTTAACCTACAATATTTAAAGATCAATAAAACTGTAAATAAAGAATATTTAGATTTAATCAAAACTATTGTTCTTAACCTCAATATTTAAAGATCAATAAAACTGTAAATAAAGTATATTTAGATTTAATCAAAACTTTTGTTCTTAACCTACAATATTTAAACATCAATAAAACTGTAAATAAGGTCTATTTAGATTTAATCAAAACTATTGTTCTTAACCTACAATATTTAAATATCAATAAAACTGTAAATAAAGTCTATTTAGATTTAATCAAAACTATTGTTCTTAACCTACAATATTTAAATATCAATAAAACTGTAAATAAAGTCTATTTATATTTAATCAAAACTACTGTCTATTTGAAACTTACCACATAAAAACTTTTGAACTTGTTTCCCCTTGTCTTCGAGCTAAACAATAAAATGTAGACATTTTACATGCCAGTGAACCTAATGATAGGACAATTCGCCTACTTAGAAGAAAATTATTCGGCCATATTGCTTAAAACAGATAAATGTTTGAATTTCATTTAAAAAACGTTGAATGTTAATGTGAAATAAATCCAATTACCTTGTCAGAATTTTAATGGTAATCAAAGATAAATATTAAATAGATAGAATGAAACAATCATTTTGTATTTCTAAAATCCTTAATCATCAAGTTATATCAAGAAAGACAGAAAAAGATGGATAAATGAGTGAAGAGTGAAGGGTGTGTGGATAAATGGTGGAAGATGGATAGGTGAGTGAAGGGTGTGTGGATAAATGGTGGGAGGTGGATAGGTGAGTGAAGGGTGTGTGGATAAATGGTGGAAGATGGATAGGTGAGTGAAGGGTGTGTGGATAAATGGTGGAAGATGGATAGGTGAGTGAAGGGTGTGTGGATAAATGGTGGAAGATGGATAGGTGAGTGAGGGTGTGTGGATAAATGGTGGAAGATGGATGGAAGAGTGAGAGGTAAATGGATAGATAGATTGATGGATGGACGGAAGAATGGGGTAAATGGGTAAATTGATTTTTGGATGGATGGACGGAAGAATGGGGTAAATGGGTAAATTGATTTTTGGATGGGTGATTGATAGAATGATGGTTGAATGGGTAGATGGAAGAAGGACGGGTGAATGGTGTATGGATTGACAGAAGTAGGGGTGAATGGATTGATTGATAGGTGGATGAAGAAAGGATAAGTGGATAATACAGAAATTACACCATCTAACTGAATGCTAGATATTTTATGCTGTTTGTTGTTTCAACATAACTGTCACGTGTTATGAACGTCAAACTTACCTGTGCTTGTTGGATGCGTTTTTTGGAGATCGATGAAGATGGGACACGGTGACATTCCTGGATAAACAATACGTATCGTTTACAAGGGTTACACAACTACTCTCCGTCCTTATAAGCAATTATATTGTTTATTACACTCTAACCTAGCCCCTACTATTAGTGTCCTCCTGTAAGTGCATTTTCGAAGAAGAATTTCATTTGCCCAAAGCAGGAGTTTTTAAAATTACTCACTACAGCTATTTACAATTTTGAAAAATTAATTAAACTCGCCTGTGGGAAGAATACCTTATAGCGCGTTAAATAAGAAGAAACACAATAAACAAAGGTAATATGGAGTTTCTGTATGTTAATATAAAACAATAAAAAAATCCATAACTTACCGGTATGAAAGAAAGCGGCCCACCCACACCTCGAGTGCTTTTTGTGTTATTCTTCATACAGAGGCCCCACTGCGAGAAAAAACCAGGCTTAAACTTTACACCTTCATCAGTCTATCTATCTACTTCTGTCAGAATAATCTATCTTTTCCTAATATATGTATATATACCCGTTAGTTAAACTACAAAAGTCACTATTTCTAACATAAATATTATCTGATCATATCTTGAAACCTTCTTGTCCTTAGAAAACAATGCCCCCCAGTGGCACAGCGGTATGTCTGCGGACTTACAACGCTAGAATCCGGGTTTCGATACCCGTGGTGGGCATAGCACGGATAGCTCTTTGTGTAGCTTTGTGCTTAATAACAACCAAACAATAGAAAACACAATTTAACCATAGACACATTGAGGACCATATTTTTTTATTTAAAAGAGTTTCAATATCGTATAGGGTGTCTCAAAAATTATCACAGGAAATGGTCACTATTTTTTTTCTATCATTTTCAATCAACCTATAAAACACATCCCTAAACGAAGCTACTACAAATAGCTGTTCTGTGCAGTGTTCACTGATTCTTACAATATCCTGTTCAGTGGCATACATTCAAATCTCCAATCTTATATTTTTATAAAAAATGATTTAGGTATTCAGTATATGATTTTTGTACCATGTCCAAATCTTTCTGAATACAACTTACGATTGGTAATGGGTTTTCTTGAGAGACACCAACTGGTGCTTGGTTTGTAATAACTACCGAATAGTTTCCCAGATTTATGAGGCAATTAAAGACTTTTTTTTACTGAAAACTAAGAGACTTATCATGTGAATAACGTTCTTTCCTTCTTTCACGTGAAACACAGAAGTGTTCGTAATGCATGTGCAATGCACTCATTCGATTACGTCATCATAATAATTCATATACTTTACTAGTGTAACCACATATAGAATTTAAGATCGTCTGGTATTTTAATGTTACTCTTCGTTTCATTCTTTACTTCAGTGGAAAAAGCGGTGGTAATTACACTACTTATTCTTTAGCCATTCAACATAATTTGCAACCAGAATTGTATCTTTTCCAAGTACTTAGACAAATGTTAAACTGTTTCATACGTTTGATAACTTTTCATTTACATTATCTTTTACTCGTTTTCCTCCAATGTCAACTATCAAATGATCTCAAGATAGGTTCATCTGTTACTAGAGTTCCTAATGGACCACTTTTTTGCGTTTGTGGTCAGATTACACATGAAAACTCAAGTCAGATTCACTAGTTCTTATTTTTAAAGGGGCCATCTTTTCGCGTTTGTGGTCAGATTACACATGAAAACTCAAGTCAGATTCACTAGTTCTTATTTTTAAAGGGGCCATCTTTTCGCGTTTGTGGTCAGATTACGCATAAAAACTCAAGTTAGATTAATTACTCGTTATTTTCAAATGGACAATATTTTCGTGTGTGAGGTCAAGTTACATAGTAAACCTTTTATAGCTTTTCGCTGCAAATTCTTACCTCGCCAGAGCTCTCTACAACTGAAGGATCTGAATTGTCACATAAGACGCCGAAAAATTCATCTGCGCTGACATCTGGGAACGCCATCTGACGGCATTTATCCATAACTTCTAATTTCTGAAATAAAAATAAATACATTTGATTGCATAATAAAACGAGTGTTTTGTTAAATATGTATAATAATAACATGGGAAATTCATTTTCATTGATAACCACGGTAACAGGTCTATCAAATATATACCCTAGTTGTGCCCTAACATTTTTTAGTTTTTTATATTTTTTAAACTGCAAAAATCTTATAAAATCAGTAATAATTTTCAAAATATCCAATGTCTAAGTTATTTGTTTGTTTTAAACAAGATTTCTAAACTTTTAAACAGTTTAGAGAAGTTAGGGTGTTACCTCTGATGGAGAGTTACTTCTTATGCAGTCATATCGTGCTTTGTTACCTGTACAGAGAGACAACGATAAATTAATTCTTAGCGAACGTTTCACTCAGTTACGAAAGGACAAATATCCTCGTTACAGAATGAGAAATACTTTGGTTAAAGAAAATTATACTTTTATTACAGATATTATTGTGCATTGCTGGCTTAATATATGCATTTAGGACTAACCTAAATTAACTAAGTTTGCCAAACCTTTTGAGATATTCTTGGGTTTACGGCCGAAAACATCGTTAACATCAAGGGTATACCCAACAGGTGAAACAACTGCATTATAATATTTATATGTAAGAACTTAATAACAGCATATTTAACTCATTAACGGGTTGATTTTAATTTTTGATCTACGTAAGTAGCTTGCTCTAATCGGATGTTGATATCAATTTGTTAGATGAAACATGTAGACATCATGCTCATAAGCAAGCTAAAAGTGATGTAAAATGTTCAACATAAAACCATGTCAATAGAACAAATGAACCTTGGTTATGTTTAATCACCTTATAGATAGCATCGCCGACTCGGGGTGAAATATCGTTTACTCAGAAGGTAGCGTTTTATGGAGAAGATCCAAAACAATGCGTTGTCACACAAACATTTCTAGAATGTCTTTAAACAAAACTTCTGTTAATTCCATTAAATGCATACGTAATTTTGCTTAATCGTGTACTAAGAAGATGATACATATAGGATGGACTTATCGTAAGTACTGTCGAGTATAATAATTCGAATCTTTATCAGTAACTTCACAAACTACATTTTTATAAAACCCACTTAACATGTAACTTGGTCTCTATGTCCTGTAAATCACAACGTTAAGATTGATTGACCTTTTACATTTGGCTAAAATTTGGCCTTAACCCTAAGTTCAAACGTAACAGTGGACTACGAACTTAGTCAAAAAAAAAAAGGCATTAAACTCAATTTCCCGAAATATTCCGGAAACACAAGCTATAATAATCACATAAGGAAATATACACGATTTTTCATATTGCTGAAAAAATGAAGACAGGAATTGTGAAGTAAAACATACGTAAAATCGGCTGCTTAAAAGATGCCAAATAGTCCACGTGACGTACACTATTGATAAGAGTAAGATCTCGCAATAAAAAATTGATACGTTAAATGATTAATAAATAAAAGATCAAATAAACTTACTACAGATATACTGACGCACCCTTTTCCCCAATCGAGCCAACTGGAAGAGTAAAGGTTTATCATTAAAATACATTGACAAAAATGCAACGGAATCGTTTATGACGTATACACTCTTTCACAGTAGACCTCTACTTTGTTTCTAACCTGATCGTATCAGTAAAACGTGAATAATTTATATTATCGTAGCAATTACAACACTGCTCTCGTTTCCTATAAATCTAAGTGCGAAATATTTTTTCAGTAAACCTAATTCTTCTGCTAGACTAGTTGCACTGGTCATTATTTTTGTTCGTGTAACTAAGACACAACCATCCACACTCCAGTTTGTCTATCTTAAGAAAAGTAGTGTTTATAAAATGAAAAAAAAAACAAAAACAAAAAAAAAATGTTAATTCCAGATTTATGCTTCTATTCTAACATAGAAATGTTTTTTACAATATATATGTATAATTTTTATTATCAGTTCCTACGTTTATTGTTGAATAAATTGCTTTTTCTTGGGATTTAAACAATGAGATAAACTTGCTTGTTCGTGGGACTTAAGCCATGTGATAAAATCGTTTGTAGACTCGGGGGGAGGTATCTTTTAAACGCTTGGTCATCTACATATGCTTTTCTATTTGTCCACTCAATTCCAACACGTTTCGTCTGAAAATTGTGAGTGATTCGCCCTCTCATTTAGTAATATCTTTCAAGAAACCATCACAAAAAATTATTCACATCAAGACTTGTCGCCATGAAATATGCACACTTGGTAAAGCATTCACATCAACACTTGTCCCCTTAAAATATGCACACTTGATAAAGCACTCACATCAACACTTGTCCCCTTAAAATATGCACACTTGATAAAGCACTCACATCAACACTTGTCTCCGTTAAATATGCACACTTGATAAAGCACTCACATCAACACTTGTCTCCGTTAAATATGCACAATTGATAAAGCACTCACATCAATACTTGTCCCCGTAAAATATGCATACTTGATAAAATACTCACTTCAACACTTGTCCACGTGAAACATGCATACTTGATAAAGCACTAACTTCAACACTTGTCCCCGTGAAACATGCATACTTGATAAAGCAATCACTTCAACACTTGTCCACGTGAAACCGGCATACTTGTTAAAGCATTCACTTAAACACTTGTCCCAATAAAGCATGTACACTTGACACTACATTCCCCTCCAGGTTAGCAATCACCTTTAGCTGTAACCCAACAGAGCCAATGGCTGTATATGATTAAACGTTTTTCTTCTGCATATCATGTGTTATATCTTCAGCCACTGAACAGAGGGTGTCATTTTCATTTTACACGCTGTTTTATAGTGTGTGTTTCAAATAGCTTATGAAACAATTCGTAACCTATAGTAAACATATGTAAATCAAATATTGTTCAACTCTTACGTAATGTTTTCATAAAATTTCTGTTTCTGGGTATGTCTTGATTAATTTGGTAATTGTAATTTAAAGATATAAAGATAAACTTTCTAACTACCAACAACTCAATAACTTCAAATAATAAGAAATAAATCAAACTACACACAGAATCAAAGAAAAAATACCTTTCATACTGCTATCAATTCGTAAAAATATACAAACAATTTAAGAACAATAGATAAGTTTCTGTGGTATGGCAGTCCAAGTAACTGTTCTTCAAATTCAATAAATAAGTTTGTTGACAGGTGCAAAATTAATAAGAGATAAAATTCAGAATAACATTTCTGTGTTATTTTAAGTTGGCTAGCCAGTGAAACAAGAATATTTTAAAGGCTGTATCATTTTGAAATATGACCTGGGCAGTCTAGGCATAACTTCAAATGATTTTAACAGTCTAGAAATGTAAACGATTTGGATAGTCCTGCTAACTTTAAATGACTTGCACTATCTAGGCTCAACTTCAAGTCAAACATTTTTTTAGCCGAGGCATAGTGGCTCATAGAATGGCTCCGAGTTTTTTCAAGTACAAACTTTTAGCTCATAGCTCCATCTCTTGGCCGATTTGAGATCTAAATATACCCTCTCGTTTTATATATATCTGTAACTGAAATTCATATATTTATAAGAACAACAAATTCTACGTTATTCCTCCGAAGTTATTTCTAGAATTTAACCTATAATAAGCTTCGAAAGTGAGTTTTTTCTTGAAAGTATATCACCTTTAAAAGAACTGTCTTAACTGCCGCCAGAGTTAAAATTTATTTAGACGCAAATTACAAAAAAAAAAAAAGATTACCCTTCCTCCATAGAGCTTGGTACATTCCTGAAATACAAAAAGAAATTATTCATACAAACGAAAAATGGATAACATAATATCAAGAAGAAATTACAAATAAAAAAGACTAACCCTAACATTCCATGTACAGTTCTTACGGAGTATAAGACTGGCAGATTTTAGAAAATAATATTATATATGGGTTTTGTTTTGTTTATTGCCAATTGTCGAAATAGATGACTTATACTAATGTTTCTTAATAGTATAAATATATACTATGTTGTTGTTGGGCTTAGGATTCTTCTACAGTAGGTGTCTGTGACTTGTTAGCGATAAATTCAACGATGAATAAACAGCATACACTTTACTTGTTTTCAAATAATGTATATTCGGAACAAGTTAAACGTATATACAATAAAGTGTCCACACTATAGAGAATATATGTTTATCGCAAACTTTATATCACTATATGTATAGTTCTCCTCTTCTTGTCAAAAGTCCACTTAGGCCTGTTCCATTATTTTAGAATCTCAGTTGACAAGCCGAACTATTTTCTCTAATACTATCGCAATATTAGTCTGATGTGACTCACTTATGATTGTGGTCTTCTTTCTTCTGAAGATCCTAAGTTCCTTTTGTCAAAGTGCACTCAGGCTGATTCAATGACTTTAGAATTTCGCTTTGACGGAATACACGTTTCTTTATTTCTTTTTCCACTGTGGTTTCACTCTAATGTATATATCAAACGTTAGGCCTATCACTTTAACGTTACTTCACATTACAGTAAACATTTTACAAATTCATCTTCGTATTTATAGTTGCAATTCCAACTACTTTAAAAAGATTTTAGGCAATGCTGCAAAAACAATGTTTCCTTAGTATCAATAGGTGCAGCCTCATGCATTATTTCAAATCCAGTCAATCTTTATCAAGTGTCTTTTCAAATGTTTTAAATTAATCACATGATCCAATCATCCTGTTTGAACTATAACTAGTATTGCATTTCATGCCACCTGGCATATTCATATTTTATGTACATCTACGTTATATTATAACAATTTTGAATATGCAAATCAGCAAGTCACGTAATAATCACAGCAGATATACATTTATGGTGGTACGGAGTGTATCAGAACTACACTTTGACATTGCTTGGCGTTCGTAGGTAGTTCATGTCACCAAAACTGATCGTTTTGGGAAAGGTATGCAACAGTCCTTTCCAACGTAAAATATTTATATACTCAGGTCATAAAGCTGTGTTCAGATTTAAATCTCCAAGACGATGATATCCATTATATTTAACGGAATTGGAAAACAAATAATTATGGATAACTTGGGGAATCAGGATCGTCTAATCACACCCTAGCTGTGGTGAGAAAAATAAGATGTATTGTAACAGGTAATAATTCACGAATACAAAGGTCAGAGATGAAAGCCTTCATGGTGCCCCAGGCAACAGTACGCAATATAATCAAGAAGAATTTCCGTCTGAAAAAGTTATACAAGTCGCGTATACACAAATTGCTTTCACGTCATATAAGTTCAACAGGAGTATACGTCAACAACTCAAGAATGAAATAGACATTCACACTATTCTATACCAAGACATGCCGGTTAAGTTACCAGATGCAGTGCCTATGGATTTCTTTGCAATCGTGCTGTTAAAACTGAAGTTAGGGAATCGCCATCCTCTTACACTAGATGGAATATGGAATCTCTGTAGGGTGTAGTGGTGTGCTATAGTCATGACAGCCTTTCGACCGAGCCTTTTTTTTTTTAACGGAAATTATTTTATAGGGTTGTTGTCGAGATGCACAGTTGTCAGATAGAACCATGATGGGACGTGGCGACATGGTCTGCTACAACGTGGTGAGACTCCAAACTCGTTTTTAATATAACATACTCAAGCCTTGTTTATTATTACTTCTGTCGTAATTTATGTGTACATAAACATAGGAGTCAACAGACGCTTTCAAAGTCACGATAAAAACTATTTTTATAGCCAAAATAAACCAATACTCCAAGCTAGTTTTTTATGTCTTATTAACCTTTGCAAATCACAGTTTCTTTTTCTCAGGATGGTAGTGGATTTTTCAATGATTATGCGTCTCTAAATGATTATTTAAACTGTATTAGACAGATATTAAGTCCAATGCTTTAGGTAAAACCCTTTAAACACATTAAAGTAGTTAAAGACAAAAGATAATTGTTGAAGAAAATATCTACAAATTTTCCAGGACCTGTTAGTAGTGGTAGTAATTCTTGAGTATCAAGATCATTGTTTGCTTACGGAATTCTTACCGTACACTGGGACATCTAGCGGTGACAAAACATATTAAAATTTCATAATTTTCTATTTTAGACAAAGTTTTCCTTGAGATGTGCAAATTTTCTAAAACTTATTAAAGACAGAAAATATTAAAGGCAGATTTATGTCGCGTGAAACAATAATAATATCTTATATCCTGAGCTACAGCTGCCTTTTGAATTAACAACATAACGCAGTATTCGCAATTTTCTGGTATTTAAGTCATTCTTACACCAACTATACCAAATCAAAACAACAGAATTTGACAACATAATGTAATAAGATCTATATGGAAGCACGATTCAATTCAACATAACAATTAAGCCTAAATATTAATAATAAAATGGCGAGTTTCATTAATGAATAAGATCAATGTAGTATTAAATAAACAAAGAACAATTTGAATAAATATTATTGTGCTTACAGTTTGGTCCCTGTTAATTTTCTACTGTAATATGCTTCTCGCTGCAAAAGTATGAATTGAATATAGCATTTAACTTGACAATGAGAACGATCTAAGGTTTTTTACTTTTGCCAGACTAAATCATATGTAAAGTTTTCGTTTACTACAAAACAATGAAACTATTTTAAAGTTAAATATTTGAGAGAAATTTGAACGTCACGCTAGCAAGCTAAGACTCAGTCAAAGTCGTGCAGCTACGAAGTTTCAGGAAGATTTATTTGTGAATTTCGCGCAAAGCTACACAAGGGCTATCTGCGCTTACCGTTCCTAATTTAGCAGTGTAAGACTAGAGGGAATGTAGCTAGTCATCACCACCCACCGCCAACTTTTGAGCTACTCTTTTACCAACGAATAGTGGGATTGACCGAACATTATAACGCCCCCACGGCTGAAAGGACGAGCATGTTTGGTGTGACGGGGCTTCGAACCCGCAACCCACAGATTGCGAGTCGAGCACCCTAACCACCTGGCCATGCCAGGCCAGTTTCAGGCAGAATTGTTTGGTAGAGAAAGAAAGAAATAGTTCGTAAGCACGTCAGGATTCACTTAGAATGAAGAGTTGTGTAGCATGAGTGCCATTCTTAGTATTTCAACATATGTCTGCGGACTTACAGCGCTAGAATCCTGGTTTCGATACCCGTGGTGGGCAGAGCACAGATAGCCCACTGTGTAGCTTTGTGCTTAATTACAAACAAACAGGATTCCAACAAATTATTTTGCACAAAAACTATTCTGGGCCCTATTTGTAAGGAATGTAACAAATTCATTTTGTAGGTAGGTTGAAGCTGTAAAAGAAACAACCCAGACATATCGTTGTGGAGTTATTTGTTGTTTTCTTCTCAGTGAAAAGCTGCATAATGGGCTATCTGCACTCTGTCTCTGCGAGGACTCGAACCCAAGATTCAAACGTTTTTAAGGCCGTAACCTTATCGGTCACCCTCGGAGGGACATCGTGGAGTTACCTGCTACTTTTTTGTTGTCGTTGTTTTTAATAATTTAAAACGAGCGTTCTTTTATGTACATTTGCTCTCTACAAAGATTGCACGTGTTGTGTATAATTATGTGTCCAATATTGGCCAAGCTCATAGTGACAACTTCTGTTCCACGTGTCAGCTTATTCTTCCCATCTGTTTCGTTGTAAGAATTTAATTAAACCAGTTTAATTTTATAGCATAAACACTCTTAACGTCACTTGGCGATGATAACCAGCAGAATACATAACTGTAACCCCATAAAACAGTCGAATGTTGAAATGAGTAGTTTCTAAATATATATAAGTCTTACCTCGGGTATGAGTGGTAGCGGCTCGGGTTGCTGAAAAAACAAAAGTTAAACATAATGAGAAGATGACATTAGGTATAAATATACCAATTTCTTCTTGTAACAAAAATAACAACGTACTATTTTTTCTGACAAAAAATAATGTCTGTATTAAAATGAAAGTATTAAGCACATCTATATCTATATCTATAATTGTCAATTAAAGGCTTTTACTTGTATTTCTTAATAGTATAAATATACACTGTGTTGTTGTTGGGCTTAGGATTCCTCTACAGTAGGTGTTTGTGACTTGTTGGCGGTAAATTCAACGATAAATAAACATCACGCACTCCACTTGTTTTCAAAATAATATATATATTCGGAACAAGTTGTACGTATGTACAACAAATTATTTACACTATAGAGATTATAGACATATCGTAAAATCTATATAGTTCTCTTGTTGTTGCCAAAAGTCCACTTAGGTCTGTTAAATTGCTTTAGAATTTCAGTTGACATGCCAAACTACTTTTCTATATTTCTATCACACTAGTTTCCGTGTATAATTCACTTACAATTATATCGTGAATTACCACAGTCGTATACTTCTCTTTCAGTAATTGTCTGGTCCTCGTACTTCATATATCTTATGTTTTGATGGAATAAACTATACTTCTTATCTCTTTCAAAACTGTTAGTTTTCCTCTAACATATTTATCGTTAAGCCTATATAACTGTTAGGTCTTTCACTCCTATGAATCAACTTTACGTTTAACTTTCCTTGGCCGAATATCTACTTTACTTTCTCGTCTGCTCTGTCTGTCTGCTGTTTCCGCTCGTCTCACATTATTTATATGTTTATCACTTAATCGTCTGCCAGTCTTCTAGAAATCTATATACTCTCGACGTCAATGTATTGCACGAGACACTTGATAGTCTCAACATCAATGAATTATAAACACAACTTCCAACAATTGTCTGCTTTTAACTCTCTTATTAAAAAAAACACACTAAACAATCATAAAATATTATCTCGAAAACTAAATAAATGAATACTACCCACACCAAACAGTCTTTGAAGCTTATTTTATATCACTAGAAAAAAAAAAAGAAATGGAAGAGAAAATATTGTTCAATAATACATCGCTGTACCAACGAACTGAAGGAAATAGTTATCTTTTAAAATCTTTATATAGCATTAAATTTACAGGTAAAAGGACAACTCACTTGTTTCTCATGAATACATTCTCCAAACTGCAAAGAAAAAGAAAACATTTTCTGATGACACACTATTGGAAATAATTCGTCAACAAATCAATAACTTTTAATTAATCCATGCGTTAAGTACTAGCTATAATTACTGGTAAAACGTAATTGAAAAAGCGATTTCATTAAGAACAGGCGCGACTCGTAAAACATTTGCGGTAATTTTCATATCATTCGCTTGAATTTTCTATATTCTATCATTTTCACGCACATCATTTAAGCAAATGCTTTCTTGCAGGCATTACGTATTTGGTCAATAAATCATAGAAACAAATTCACGTAGACGTAACTGTATTTAATAAAACTACATGTAAGGCAAACAATAAAGTATGATAATGGTATTTATAATAGCGTACAGAGTATGAAACAATTATGAGCATTTGGTGTGTGACATGCTTTTACGAGTTGAAACAAAGAAACTAACAAAAATGATGAATAAAACCTGTAGTAAAGAAAAAAGTAGCTAAAAGGTGTTTATAGCAGTCTATGAAACGAGCTGAAACTACATTATTGAAAAGTGAAGTAAATGTAAAGTTGTAATGAAGGCAAACTTAGCTGAGTATGCAAAAACGTCTAAATGCGTGTTAACAAAGTTATAAGCATATGGCTTTGAAAGGACTGCGCATGCGTATTTTAGACCTAAATAAGTCGAGAAAGCCCATAGCAATTGTATTTAGTGTAATTTTCATTTTTTAGGAAACTACAAGCGGGTTTAGTGTTGTTTGTGTGAAATACTTTGCAAATGAAAAACTAAACTACGACATTATTCCATCGTATAGCATACACTTTGCGCCAATAAACTCCAATCAACCAACCAACCGTATACCAGACTCTTTGCACTAAAATGTTTGACTAAGTAAAAAACAGGTAAGGTTATTCTGAATGGAAAATCCAGTATGCAGTCCGGATTCCTCGAGCAACGGCCTTTCCAACAATATGAGATTTGTAGTGTTTCATCGAGAAATGTGCGAGAAAAGTTCCGGACGGACAATTTTTACTTATTTATTTTCTTGATAGGAAGTTAGATTTAAAAGACTTTAACAAACTAAAGCCTGAAAGCTAATCTGGGGCGTTCAGAAACTGTTGTTTCTCTCTTTCCATGATTAAAGAACGAAGGAAAATTTTGAATCAACAGGAAAAGTGTCCGTATGGGCTTTTAAGGGAGGAGCAGTAAATAAGCTGATGGGGTGACATCTAGTACCATTTTAGGGAACTATATGTTCTTTTTTGGTCTATAATGATATTACTTCATATTTACAGTGAATGGGGTCATATATATATATCAAGTCGGTGTTTTTGTTTATCTGAACCACCTTTCCTGTGTTCTTTCAAAACACGGTTACATTAGATTTTAATTATGATATATTATGTATTTATGATAAAACGTACCTTTATTTTTGGCTGATATGTCTAGTTTTAGTCATTTTATTTCGTTTAAAATCAAAGATTTATGTTGTAATATTTCTGACACACTTTTGTATCTTGATCTAATCTGCGTGTCGCAGGCTAGAATTTCGTCACCAAACATGTTCGCCCTTTCAACCGTGGGAGCATTATACAGTGAGGGTCAATCCCATTATTCGTTGGTAAAAAAAGTAATCCAAGAATTGGCAGCGTGTGATGTTGACTAGCTGCCTTCCCTCTAGTCTATCACTACTAAATTTGGGACGTCTAGCGCCGATAGCCTTCGAGTATCTTTACGCGAAATTCAAAACAAACCAAACCAATCACTTGATCTTGCTCTAGGCGATTTTTAAGTATTATTATCTAAAACTATACGTACATTAGCCAGCAGTTAACTAGTAGTGTAGCAGTACAGTAATTAACATCTTATTATACAATATCTAATACATTGATACGAAATGAAACACATTATCTGCATGCATGTCTGAAACATTTGGCCTAATTATATTCATGTATTTATATGAGGACGTGAACTGACCTAGTTTTAGAGAAGCAGTAAGAACTCAGTGGCAAGTTTTTCTCGTGTCCTTATTTCGATAGTATTCGTCTTCGTTTGGTTTTGGAATGTAGTATCATAATGTATAATGTTTACTCCCGTATGTGAGGCCGTGTTATTGTCTTGAAATGAGCCAAATATAAATTAAAATATATATGTATTTGGTAGGGCGGAGAAAGTCTGTACACAGCATGGTCACAAGTAAATAGACACCACCTTTTCAGAAAAAAATGAAATTTTTCATTCATATTCACATGAATTGATATATTCATAATTTATTTAATATCTAGTAGATCTTCCTTTCGCTTCGTGGAGTTCGTTGATCCTTTGGGGCATCGTGAGAATCATCTCGTCAATTTTAGATTGTGGGATTTTCGCCCACTTTTGCTTCAAAACTTGGAGTAGATCGCTTTTCAAAGTTGGTTTTTTTTTCGTTTCTTGAATTTCCGGTCGAGTATGGCCCGGAGGTTTTCGATGGGGGTTCATGTCAGGAGATTGGCTCCGCCAGGGCAACTTCTGGATACCATTTTCCTCCTGCCACTTTTGGGTGTTTCTAGCAGTGTGACACGGTGCTCCATCTTCTGGAACAACGTTGTGTTCTTGTTCACGAAATCCGAGAAATAAAGTGGCAAGAGTCCTTCCTCCAATATTTCGACGTATTTCGCAAAATTTATGTTGCATTCCAATAAGCTCGATCTCCCACCAACCCAAACAGCTCCCCAAACCATCACGCTAAAACCACCATGCTTCACAGTTGACTGCAATCGGTTGAGCCAAAACTCTTGGTGAGGCATTCTCCAGACC